AATACTTATTTTCCACCACGATTTGCAAATAAATTCTTTAAAAATCAGACAATGTGATTTTCTGGATTCCCCCCCCCCACACACACATTTTGTCTCTCATAGTTGAGGTATACCTATGATGAAAATTGCAGGCCTCTCTCATCTTTTTAAGTGGGAGAACTTGCACAATTGGTGGCTGACTAAATACTTTTTTGCCCCACTGTATTTTAAGTTGGATCTCCCCAAAATGTTTATGAAGACCAAGCAGGACTTATTAAAGGCAGATTAATTGCACATCCGACATGGACAATTCTTAACATAATCTATTTCGCTAATAAACAATATAAGCAATTATCAATATTATAATTAGATACAATGAAGGCATTTTCCATCCTAGGTTGGCTGTTTCTATTTTCTACCTTAGAATACATGAATTTTGGAGATAAATTTTCTAGAATAATTCAAAATATTTATCAAAACACTAGCGATTGTGTTAGAGTTAATTATACAGCACTATTTTTTCTTGATAAAAAGCAGTATTAAACAAGGATGTCCACTTTCCCCATTATTATTTGCTATCTCATTAGAAACTTTAGCAAAGGAAACAATGTTTGGAACATCTTGCCCCCGGAGGTGAGACAGGCCTCCTCACTCCTGGCCTTTCGGAGGGATTTGAAGACCTGGCTGTGCCATCTGGCCTGGGGCGGGGAGGGAGGTTGTCAGAAATGGGGTTGGCTAGCCCCCTAGAGGCCTGGTGTGGCTTCCATTGGCCTCTTGGCTTTTTTCTCTTCCTTCCATTTGTGTAAATGTGTTTTTCTTTTTATACATTTTAATTATGTATTTATTTGTTTTAATTTGATGTAACCCACCCAGAGTCCCCCATTGCGGGGAGATGGGCGGGGATAAGTCTATGTATAAATAAAAATAAATAAATAAATAAATAAATAAATGTATAATGATTAGAAATTAATGGTGCATTATAACTTTTTGGTGATGATATTGTGTCAATCTCCTTAAAGCATTATGAATTATGCAAATTTTCACAAATTTCAGCAAATTAGAAGGTTTAAGTACTAATTTTTCTAAATCAGAATTTCTATGTATAAATACCTCCATGGCAGTACAAAATACATTAAGCAGATCACCAGGAAGTAAAATCTGTAAACACTTTTTTAAATATCTAGGAATTTCCTAAAAAATTGACAAATTATTTCAGTTAAACTAAAAACCATTAATTAGTTAGGAAAATAGAAAAGTGGTCAAAATTTAAATTAGCATAGCTTGATAAAATAGCAGCAGTAAAAATGTCTCAAATGGTAAGAAAATGATAGAAAATGATCAGTAAATGTATACATAATGACAAAAAAGCAAGACTAAATTCAAAGTTGCTCTAGAAAAGGACCGATGAAGGAGGTCTTGGAATTCCAAATATTAAATCTTATTATGATGCTAACCAGATCAATAACTTTTTAGGTTGATAATCAGAAAAATTGTTTAAAGATCAAATTATATAACTATGCCACTAGCAAAATTAGGGTAATTCTTTTTATAAAAATATTCATAAATAACTAAAACATATTCAAAATCTATTTCTTCTGAATATGTTTAAAATTTGGAAAAGAAAAGTCTCAAAACTAACTTCAGAGCCTTCATAACTTCACTTTTATATTTCTCATGCCTTGCTGAATATAAAATTAAATAGTACTGGAGATGGGAAATGAAAGGACTTCATTATTTAAAAGACTTGTATGACAGGGACATTCCTAAAATGGGAAAACAATTATAGGTAGTGCTTAACTTACAACCATTTGTTTTAAAGACCATTCGAAGTTACAATGGCACTGAAAAAAGTGATTTATGACTGGTCCTTGCACTTAAGACCACTGCAGCGTCCCCTTGGTCACTTGATCAAAATTTGGGTGCTTGGCAACTGGCATGTATTTACAACGGTTGCAGCATCCTGGGGTCACATGATCACCATTTGCAACCTTCTCAGGGGGCTTCTGAGAAGCAAAATCAAAGCGGGACATTGGATTTGCTTAACAACTGTGTGATTTGCTTAACGACCATGGCAAAAAGGTCATAAAATTGGGTGCAACTCACTTAATGACCTCATCCTTTAGTGATGGAAGTTCCAGTCCCAATTGTGGTCATAAGTCAAGGACTACCTATACAAATAATTTTAGGAAATTTAGCTGTTTCATGATGCCAAATGAAAGGATCCTATTTATGGTACTTAACACTAAGGAAACTCAACATGAATTATAGTATACACCCCATGTTTTGGAGAAAATGTAAAGAAATATGTTCATATCATCATATACTGTGGTCTTCTAAAGTTGTTCAGCCTTTTGGAACTGACATTTTTTTTAATTAAAATATGGCTAATCACAACTATGGCTATTATTTTAGACCCGAAGTTGGCCTTACTAGGGACTGTTTTTTTTAATCTATCTATCTATCTATCTATCTATCTATCTATCTATCTATCTATCTATCTATCTATCTATCTATCTATGATAGTCTAAATAACATTTGAAACATGAAGAACTGATAGTTTTCTTATTCATTTCATCCAGACAGATAGGAGCAAGATCCTAGAAAACAGGAAAGGATTTGAATACAGTATTTCTATAGGGCAGCAAATATGCTGGAAATTTTTTCCAAAGGAAAAACTCACAAAAAAAAACAAAAAACCCAGCAATATTTCCACACCGAATAATATTTTATTTCATGTGTTTAACCTTATTATGTACAACAAAAACATAATGACAAACAAATTACGGGACTGCACACCACCCACTACGATAAGGGTTTTAATGCTTAATCCATGTTGCTGCAACTTAGTTTCATTTCATTTTAATTGGTCACCTTAATAAAAAGCTGTTTCCAATCAAGAGCGTTATGGATCCATAAGTCCTAACAAGGCCCACAATCTTATTGAATCCTTGCAGAAAACTATTATGGATGCACAAGATTAAACCACTAACTGCCAAGAAAGACATCACAAGTTGGAAGAGACCAAGAATAAAAAGAAAATTGTATCGCAACATTCATCCCTTCTACAAGACTGGGGTGTTGTCTTTCAATCTACAGTACTTACCAACCAATGCATGCTGCCTATGGCCCAGCCTCAGCCACTGCCACCACCATTTTACTCAGTGTGCCTCCTGCCTTCCAGTCAAAGAGCAAATGCAAAATAAAGTGCACTGCCAGTAGATTTCCTGGAAGTCTTCTTTGTTTGGAGAATCTAGCACAGTGTTTTTCAAACTTGCCAACTTTAAGATGTATGGACTTATGGAGCATGCTGTCAGGGGAATTCTGGGAGCTGAAGTCCACACATCTTAAAGTTAACAAGGCTGAGAAACACTAATCTAGGATATCTTGAAAAGAAAAACCATATTAACAGACTTTCTCATTTTCTGAGAAAGTATAAGAGAGGCAGTTGCAAGGAGAGAAAGGAGTCAAAGAATCATGTGGGAATACAGAAGTTAGAAGTGTGTCTCTTTTCCATGAAATATGGGTGGGAGAACACAGTAAGTGAGATTCCATTTTCTCCCCTCTCCTCTAAAATAGATTAAGCAAAAATGGAACTCATCACTATTATTATCAAGCAAACTACAAGAACAGATCCATGCAGTCATCAGAAGTCATGATAAACTTTTTTAAAAAATTAAGGAGCATGGATTACAGTGTATGTACTGTATTACTGTACTATCATTGCAACTTTATGTTTGTGCCACTAGGCTATGATAATTAAATAGCTGACTTTTCATTTTATCAATGTTTTCACCTTCCTATACTGGGCCTCTCAAGTTATTGCGTGCTGCTTTAGGTATGGTGCACACATACTAAAGCAGCATTTAAGTATTTCTGAACCAAACAACACATCTTGTAGTTACATAGTCTCCCCTCTTTTGTCCTTCCAATATTCAAATCCTTGACACGACTTGTGCCAGATTTCACAGCAATGCAGCACACCCAAAACCATATGCCCCGTCTCCTGTTCCAGACAGTTCATATTACCTGTGCTAGACTCTACGAGTCTTTTTCAGCTGTCCTGCTGTTACTCTAGATAATCTGAAATCTCTCTCACACATAAGACTTGTTTAGCAAGCAGCATCCAGAAATTCACTGGAATGAACCTGAAGCATGTAAACATCCTGTCTGAATTTTGCTCTGAGGCAAATGTGATTAATTTCCTTAACCTGCATCAATCTACTGAGATTTCCAGAAACTGTTTCGATGTAACATGAAGGTGGGGGTGGGAACAGAAACAAAAAGATGTACAGAAGGCACAATACCATTTTGAATTGCTTGTAGATTACTTTGCTGACTTTATCCAATGGCTGTACTTTACCAGCAAGCACTGAAGAGAGCATATTGCCAAGGGTAACCATCCCCAGGATCAGTCTAAAAAGAAGGAGACCCCAAGCAAAGCAATGAGTGTGTTGTATCAACTTTTCTTCTTCTCACTTAAAGCTTTACATCAGCATTTCCAGAAATTCAAATGACATGCATGCTGTTCTCACACTTTTTTTTTCTTTTTTTTTTACCAAAACCCCCATTTTTCGGGGGGGGGAGGGAATTTTGAAATTCCCAATTAGCAGGGGGAGGATGGCTGCTTGACCTTTCCCTGTCTTGACCTGCTCCACTTCAAGTTGCTGCCAAAAATGTATATTTTGAATCCTGTCAGGACAAAACTGTTGCAAACATGGCACTTATGCTGTGAAATGATTTTGTTATTTTTCTATTTACAGCACTCCACAAGTGAGTTGCTTTATTATGCTGCCTTGTAAAGCTGTCTGGTTTTAGACCAAAGTTTATCACTAACTAGTGTCTGCATAGCCTCTAAAACTCTGGAGAAGTTAGCTTTCGATAATAGAAAAGACCTGCCAGAACTAGGTGAGAGTACCAAGGCATTTCTTTCTCTGTCACATCTTCCTCATTGTTTACCATTCAGTACAATTTGTATTGTCTGAGTCAGACAGTACAGGACCTTTTACATCTAAGCTATTGTTGTCACAGATTATATGAGACTTACTAGACAAATCTTGTTTATTAGACTGCAGTGAAGTTTGGGAATGGCTTCCCTGCTCAGATCACAACTTGTCCTGCTCAGGTTGGCCAACCCACTGGCTTTTTACCTACCTGGCTATGCAATAAGAGCTCAGTTAATTATTTTATGGGCCCCTTTTAGGAGATGACAGTTCTTTCGAAAGATGATAAACCATGTCATAACTTTAAAAGCAGATTTTAAAAGCAGCAACCTTAGCCCTGCTTTCCCCCTAACCTTAAGGAAGTGCCATTCTATCATGCAGTCCTTGTGACTGGACATAAATAGGGTTTGAGGATCGGTTGCTTTAGCTGATTACCCATTTCCTGTATCTCAACTGCACGCATCAGGCTCTAAGCCCTACCCACATCAGGCTCTTACCCTTTGCCCAGCTGAGCCAATGCAAGTCCAATTAGCAGAGAGCCAAAGGAGCGACATCTACATTTATATTCTACCCCTTTGCCCTCAATCAACTGCAGCGATTCAAGCAGCAACCCCCACGGCACAACTGACATGATTTTGCTTGAGAAAACCAAATAAGGCAAATAACTCCCCAACAGGACATATGCAGACATTATACTCTTCAGAAAGTGGATTTATTTGGAGCAAAGGAAGAAAATATTAAAGCCTATACATACCCAGATTCATCCACCACTGGTACTTGGTCAAATCCCTTCTCTCTGAGTATTTCAATAGTCTTTTCACAGGTAACGCTTGGCAGTACAGTTAGGGGGGCAGACAGGCATAGTTCCTGAACTTTCAAGTGCCACCACCTAGGAAACAAGCAAAAATTGTAACAGTTCAGGCACTGAGGAACAAACTGTGTTGCATTTCTGCATACATAAGCTTTTCTGAAAAGACTTATATGGCTGCATATTGCATTCAAGAGTAAATACAGCAGTTAATCCCCTGCCTGACTTCCAGGAAAGGTCACTTAGACTGAATGTGTATTTGAGACACCCCTTCTATTTGCTTGCCACACTTTGCATACGCTATCACCATATCACTGAGAGCAGTGCTACTGTGAGCTGAGCAGGAGGTTGTATAGTCTGCATAGCCAGCTTATTGTTGCTGACATCATAAAATATTGGCACAAGAAAGAAAAGCCATCTATCTTTTCTATGAGTTCCCCACATCCTCAGATGTGCCTTCAGATATACAGCCTTGTATTGCACAATGCTGCATTTAGCAAAGCCCATTTCCTTCTTTAAATACTGATGAAGATGAACCCTGGTCAGACCAAAGACCCATCTAGTTCCCACAGTGGCCACATACAACAGCACTTTCTTGTTCATGCTCTCTAGCAACTGGCATGGAGACACGTATGCCTCTGAACCAGCCGTTAAGAGTCTTAAATCTATGAATGAATGAGTGGCTTGGATTTTACATCTTGTTTGAAGGGATTAACTATCAATACTTTAAAAGGCTCCTTCTGGCTTAAAAACTAATACTCTGTGGACTACAGCCTATTTTTTCAGACCCATGAAGTATTCTCCTCAACTGGTATGTGTGTGTGTACATGTGTACATACAATACACATCCAGATTGAGAGAAAAGAAAAATTAAAATGTTATACACATATATTTGCAGAGAAAACAAGGGGAAAAAAAAACACAAGATGTTTCAGTTAGTCTTAAAAGTTGGGGAAAAGTGACATATTTCGTTAAACTATGATAGATCTTATCATCTCACCAAGGCTTCTTAATAATATCATCCTCTTCTTTCATGAACCCTTTTTGGATCATCCATTTGTCACTTAGAAACTTAGACCTAAAAATCACCAAGAAAGTAAGCCATAAGCATCAATTTAGGTGACATCTGCTTTAAATATAAACAAGCAATAAGAATAATGTGAGATACAATGTCATACAATGTGATAAAAGTATCTTTATTTTAAACATGTAGCTATCAGAGAAGATTTATCGGTTGGTTCACTCATAGTCCAAACTGGCCTTTTACAGGACTGCTTCCCCTACTACTACTAACTTCTGTTTAATGAGTCTAAGGTATCTAAAAGTAGCAGTGAGAAGGGTAAGCTGAGATGTTGAAAAGCTAGATTCAGACTGCAAAGTAGAATGAAGCAGGAGCAACCCCTCATAGTTGAAAAACAGCAACAGCCACATCAGAACGCACAAGAAGCTGGTCTCAGTTGGCATGACACCACCTCAATTTGGGGCTCTCACAGGGCATCCAAAAAATCAAGATGGTATCTGTGATTGTGCAATCGAAATCCCAGTCCTTTTTAATGTGTGATTCATGGGAAAAAAAGGACAGGACTTCTATCAGTCAGTCACAGTCGCCATCTTAAATGTTTCACTCCCCCTCATGGACATCCTTGCCTCAAGGGCTTACCCTAAATGTAAAATACAGGTAGTCTTCGGATTACGATGGCAATTGGGACCAGGACTGCTGTCACTAAGTGTTGCAGTCATAAAGCATGACATCACATGACTGCATCGCTTAGTGACAGCAATCTTAGCAATCCCAGTTGCCATCTTAACCCCAAGACGTGTGGGTCGTTAAGCAGGAAGTGGCAGGAGTTCCAGGTAAGGAGCACAAGGGTGCCATGGGGAGTGAGGGAAGGCTTGAGAGGCCCAGTGCAGGATGCGTGTGAGTTGAGAGGCTGGAGAAGGCTTGGGAGGCCCAGTGTAGGCTTTCTCTGCTGGCTTCCCTATTGACTTTGCTTGTGCAAAACTGGCAGTGAAGATCACATGACCACAGCTCCCTGCCATGTAATAATCGTGAAATGGGCACCCAAGCATCTGGATCGCAATCACAGGGGTGCCCAGCTCGTGATTATTACATGACAGGGAGTTGCAATAATCCGGATCGTAACCACGGGGGTGCTGTGATGGCCAGAACTTCAGGGACTAGTCATACGTCCATTTTTTCAGCACCGCCATAACTTTAGATGGATGCTGAACAAATGGACGTAAGCTGAGGACTATCTGTAGGCTATTTCAGTAACTAAAATAAAGTATCTTTTAAGAAACCATGTAGGAGAGACAAATATAAATGTATTTCAAAACACAGTATTCATGTAGTTTTTAGCAGTGGATTATAGGTGATAAGCCAAACCAACCAACCAACCAACCCTAGTTATATCATGAATGAATGCTTATGTTCTAGTGATATAGGCATTAACATTTCCTCAGGTTTCTTGAGCATAGGTGGGTTTTTAAGTTTGATGCCTTTCCTATATTGCAGTAGTATCACTGGGACCATTTAGCCCTAAATCCATCTCATTCTTCTGGTATCAGCTTTAAAGATCTCAAAAAAATGGGCAGGGTGGGAACCTTTCTTTTAGAGTAGGGCAGGGCTGTGCAGCAATCTGGATTCAAAGGCAAAAGGATGATCCGAAGCATGCATATGTGAGCACATCACACCTGCACGTCACACCCTCCTTAAATCAAATCTGTATTTTCCTGGGATCATGCCCATGAGGTGGGGTGCACATGTCTAAAGAGTTCCAAATCACCTTTCCCTCTTTGACTCTGGATTGCTGCACAGCGCTATCTCAGTCAGTGCTGGGAAGGAAAAGACATACAAGCCAGGTACCTACATGTAGTTCCTGACAGAATCAGGAAGGATGACAACACAACGCTGACCTTCTTTTAGCTCTTGGGCAGCCTTGACAGCAACAGACATGGCACTGCCTGAGCTGCCACCTGTTAAAAGACACAGAAGATTCTCAAAATCCAAAATAGTATAATGGAACGCAGAGGTATGAAAGGGAAAGAGAAAGAAAAGAGAGTACGAGGCCAAAGCCTCTTGATTAGTAATTTAAGCACTCTCTGAAACTATGTTTAAACCTCTGTAACTAACTCTTAGAAAACTTCTGTCATAATCAAAAAATGTGCTTTCAGTGGCAAGCACTATAGGAATATCTTGGTCCAGCATTTTGTTTCTCACACTGGCCAGGAAGATGCCTCTGAAGAGCTCACAAGTAGGAGGTAGGAACATCTTCCTCTGCAATTGCGCCCCTGCAACCGGTTATCTGGAGTATTCTGCCCCCAACCCAGAGGTAATGTTGAACTTCAAGACCAATAATACTTAATACACCTATCTTCCATTGACAGACCGATCCAATCCTCCTTTAAAGCCATCCAGGCTGGTGACCATCACCACATCTTGTGATAATGATATGGGAACAAGTTTGGTTTAGCAGATAAGGTGCTGGCCTAGACCCCAGGAGACTAAGAGTTCTAGGCCTGCCTTAGGCACAAAAGCTGACTGGGTGACTTTGGGCTAGTCACTCTCTCTCAGCCCAATCCACCTCCCAGGGTTGTTGTGGGGAAAACAGGAGGAGGAAGGAGTATTAGGTAAGTTTGCCACCTTGAGTTATATATAAAAAAGGTGGGATAAAATAATAATAATAATATTAATAAAGAATTCCACAGATTAAATAGGTACTATGTAAAAAAATGCTTTCTTTTGTCCATTCCAAATCTTCCATCAGTTTCACTGAAGGACCCTGATCCTAGTGTTTTGAAAGAACGATTAAAATGTCTCCCTAATTTCTCCATGCCATGCATGACTTGATCATGTCTCCCCTCAGTCATCTTTTTTCCAAGCTAGGGATAATGCTCAAGCCCCCTGCTTGTTTTGATTGTCCTCTTTTGTACTTTTCCCAGCTGTATTATATGTTCTTTCAAATGTGGCAACCAGAACTATATGCACTATTCCAGATGTGGACATATGTGCAGTTTTGCAAATTATAGGCAATAACAGTGCCAAAGATAAAAGAGGGAGCAGTCACCACTGGCAATCCTCAGTGGTGTTCCACAAGTGCAACTTGCTGTGGAAGGGTGTAAAGGGCTACTGTAACTATGCTACCTCTAGCAGCTCTTGAAAGTAGAAGCCCAGTACAGGCATGGAGAAGAGAAAGAGAAGGCTTTATTGAACTGATCTTCTTAACGAAGCAGCATTACCTTCTAATATCTGAAGTTGCTAACATTATTTTTGACTACATCCTTCTCATTCAAGAGATTACTGGTGTAAGCAGTATTTTACATAGTTTACAGATCTCTGTTTATAAGAACTGCTTCAAACCATAAGATGTCTATTGGATGGTTGCAGAAGTAGACTTCAGTGAAATCCATGAGATCCAAATTCACTGTTTGTGTTCCTCATACAAATTGTTTGCTGGTATGGAAGCAGAATGTAGGAACTAATATCCAGAGGAAAAATGTTGCCACTACTCTATTATTGTCTTGACTACAAATCAGACTACACTTACCACATAGCAGTCCTTCTTCTCTGATTAGCATGCGTGAGAAGGCAAAAGATTCCTCATCATTACACTTATGCCATTTGTCCACCACCTAGACGGAAGGAAGAGGCCACAAAAACATCCTGCTAGACTCTGGTCCTCCATTGCTACTAGACATGCCAGAAAATATATGGAAAGGAGGAATGGATTTAGCAGCAGATTCTTGGGTCCACTATCACAAATTCCAGAAAAAAAATAAATAACTTTTAAGTGGCTTTAAAGGACTCTGGAAAGAAATTTCTGCTTTTTAAATATTCTCTTCTGTGATGGGAGCAAGCAAACCTTCCACAAACCAAAGCAGGTTGATGACATCAATTTGGCCTTCTAGAAAAGGCCAGACTCATTGGATTGTTTCTAGCTCTAATGGATACCTAGAATAACCTATTAGCCCTCACAGTATCACTGGGGGTTCACTTATTTCTAACCAAAATGTTTGAATTAGGGAACACATACAAGTAGTGGGAACTTTATGCCAGCCTTGGAATAAGTGTCTGTATTGAATGAATGAATGAATGAATGAATGAATGAATGAATGAATGAATGAATGAATGAATATGTGTGCGCACACACACAGACTCCAAAAAGACCATAATTCTATTATGAATTGATCCAAAAAACCATGTTCCAGTCATGCACAACAAACATTTTCTAGGTCCTCCTTTTGTTTTGTAGCTGAACATTCATGTACATATACTGAACTACTACTGATGCTTAAAATAAACAAACAAACAAATAAATAAATAAATTTGAGGAATCCTTAAGAAAAGTATTTGGTATAGCACAAGGAACTGTAGTAAAACTGCAGGGACCTCACCACATGCATAGAATAACCAAGAAAAGGCTCTTTGGATCCCATATATAGAGTTAAAATACAACACTCCAGGGTTTTTCAGTTATGTCAGGCAGGGCACCTCATGAATCTTCAAACTATTTCCATTAAAGTACTGTACAACACGTCTCATAATCTTCCATTTCTTCTGTGCTTTCAGGATGTCTAGCCAATCTACACAAGCTACTGTAAGTAAGGCAAGTAGATTGCTCTTAAGTAGGAGCACCTAAGTCATATTCTGCTATGAACAAGTCCTGTTATAAATACTGTAACTTTTCTTCCAAAATTCTTCCAAAATTCAGACATGGACATTCAGACCTGTTAAAGCTCAGGAATCTAAATAAAACTTGCATATCAAAATTGTACAAAGATTAAGGGCTAAGTATGGAGCAGGCAAATAAGAAGGCAAAAAGGTTAGTCCTGCACTTAAGAGCCAAAGGGATTCTAATGAGGGTAACACTAAAGCAGTGTTTCTCAACTTTGGCAACTTGAAGATATGTGGAATTGTGGGAGTTGAAGTCCACACATCTTAAAGCTGCCAAGCTTGAGAAACACAGCACTAAAGGATATGTATATGGAACCTTACTTACTGATCTGTCCAGAACTGTAGGGATGAAATCATATCCAATACCTTCCACTTCATAAGTTGTCTTATCAGTTCTGTTTAGTTTTTCAGGCTCCGCTAGGATAGATCCTTCAGGATCAACACCAACAATCTGCAGAATTATGACTGAATGAGTATTTTCATTTTCAATATACAGATATTAAAAGGGCAATTAAATTAAATCACAGACGTGACTAAATCAAAACTACTGCATCACTGGTAGAAACCGTGCCTCTGCAGTTATACCTTGAGAAATCTCTAAGCTGAATAGTGGAACTTTGAGCCCTTCCATTAACATTAGTATTGTGTAGGTATTCCATTTTTCACTCCTCACTTCTTTTGGTAAGAAAAAAGAGAAAAGTAAAACATTGGATCATTCCAAAAAATAGGCAACATCTGGATGTTGGTAGAAGTATGTAAATGAGGCAGGGTGATCATACAATAAAAGCCTCATCTGGAACCATTGAAAAACTAAGATTTTTTAATGCATACAGAAAAATATTGTTGTTCTTAGATTACTTTCACTTGGATTAAAAAAAGGCAGAAGTCAAGTAGCTTATTCTAGATCCCATTCAGATACTAAATCTCATTACAGTAAATATATATTTTGGGACAACAATCAAAAGCAGTCTCTGCCAAGCAACATGGAGATGAATATTACATTACATTCCTACTTGATGTACATCAGTCTATCACTGAAATAATTTTATGAGGGGTGGGGATCACTACAGATCCCAAAAAGAAAACAGCTTCATGTACTTTTTAATTGTTTTGTTTGCTGTTAAGATTATTCAGTTTATTGGACCTAAATAAAATGCAATTACCCTTATTAATTTGATATTTCCATAATGCCATGATCTGAGACACTTCTTAAATAATTGCGCTAAGAAATAATTTCCTACTTAGGGGCAAGTCTGATTTCCCACAAAATTAAACATAGCTGACATTAAGAAAAGAAATTAAAGTAGAATGCATATGTACTCATTATCTCAGAGGGCAAACCAAATATTTCAGGCAAATATATGGGCTGGTTGCTTCAAAAACAGAAAATGATCCTGAGAGATGGTGAATTTTAGGGTGGAAGTACAGTGGGGAAGGCGCACTTAACTCTTCCCCAACAGTTGTTTCTCCAGGTGCTTATTTTCCCCATCCTTTATGGAGCGGAAGTTCATATTTTCCTTCCTAAACACACAGTTTACACAGAAAAATGTTAATCCACTCCCCTCTTATCAATACAACACATGACACCAGCAGCCAAAAGCTTACAAAACTATTATGTAAAATAACTAACAGAAGTGGATTGTTTTAATAGCATTAACTAAATATAACAGAGGATTGTACAGGACAACTCCAGACTCTGTTTCATAATAATTGGGCCCCATTTCCTGCATTGATTTTATTTCTCAAAAAGTGAACACAACCATCTGCACTATTCTCAATATATGGGAAAGCTCGTATTGGATCGTGCTATTCCAGCAGCTAATGTTGAGACAAAGGAAAGAAGTAAGTAAATTACCAAAAGGATGCAGTAATATGTAAGATTCTCTTACACCAGGAATGTCTGTTCACTCACTTAGTATGAATGTAGAGCTATTGTGATGGAATGGAATTATGAAGGCCAGGCTCAGGGAGATAAACATTTTCTTTGCTCGCCGGAGGAGGGTGGGAGCTACAAGAGGATGAGCCTGGCACCTCCCT